CTCAACTATGTACGCTCTTTTTCCCTTGAAGTCTACATGACGACCGAGAAACTCATTGGGGTTAGACAGATGTGAGGGCATGAGTCTGTTCCTGTAATCACCGGCATTAACTGACTTTTCACCTTTGCTGGACGACTTATGAGTCATAATCAGGCTATAGAAAACCGTGCACAAGGGGTTGTTCAATTTTAATCTTCCGAGAAACTCTATCTAATTTTGCTACCTTTCCGATTGATACCCATAAAGCATTTAGCTTGAGACACTGCGTGAGGAACGCTGATGATTGAAGGGATGACTTATGGAACGAATAGTTCTTCTGGCTTGCCAAATTCGAACTACCGAACCTCATAGCGAGGCTCTGTGCGAAGATGTGGAACGAACTATCTTAACCAGTGCACTTTTCAGAGCAAAACAGATCAGGCACCATCTCCATCCTAAAGTCATTAGATACCGCCTCTATCTAACTTCAAGAGAATCATTTCATCATGGCCATTCCACGGGGTTTTCCTTATTCTTGAATATGGCTTTTTAATCTCCTTCATTTATTACTAGGCACGAATGATATTTGTGTGCCCTCGTATAATATCTGCGTATGTTGAACTGATCATAATACGAGGGTTGCCTTTTATATCTCGGGATTGAGCAATCCTAGTGTTGCCATCTGACAACCGACAGCTCTATCGTAAAGTTCGACATTTTTGAGGATATACTTACTCAGAACTTTTTGACATATGAGCGCTCCTTGTGCTGTTTACACTAACCTAAAAAATTTACTCAGGCCCTTGGAGCCTCCACCCCCCAATTAAGCCAAATCTCCTTTTCCCTTAACCTCCCGCTCACCCTTTGGCGATGAAGCTCCATCAAGGGCAAGTACTTATCGACGGCATGGTGAATTCAACCAAGGTCGTAGTTTACTCCAAGGCGAATTCTGTGGGATCTTCAAAATCAGTTGTTGATCCTATGCTGTGCGCAAACTAATATTGCAAGATCGTCATGTGACCTACCGTGAGATTTTGACAACCTTAGGCATTAAAGGAATCAGCATACATTCAATATTGCATGAACATTCGACTGTAAAAAAACTGATCCCACAAATAACTTCCACCTACGGCTTTCTATGAACCTCGGCATAACTGTTCTGTTACTGAGTTGTTTTTATGACTCTTCACAAGGTTTGTATACAAGCTTTANTAAGCTGACGTTTCGGCGGAGTCGCCTTATTCAGAGCCTAGAAAGATCATAACAATTCATGACTATCCGACCAAACGTCTCCACTGCCATACTGAATTTCGAGACCCCCAGGGCACGCAGGTGATTAAAGGAGGACCACTTACCGTAGCTCTGTGGATTCTTCAAAACCAACCAGCAATCGATGATAATAATCGAGCTGTTTCAGTTGAAGTAGGTCTTCATTCAGAGTCTCTGTGGGAAAGCTAACTTTATATAAGGCCGCAACTCCCGCGTGATTGCGAGGCATTATTCTCTACGATTCATTTTTGGATCGGTGACTTGTATTCAAAATGCCTCGAGGGTTTTTTGCGCGCATAATTCCGATTCCTGTGCCACGACCTCCACGTTGACTCCAGAAACGCCTCCATTGTGCTTTTGTATTCGGTGACTCCCTAAGGCAGTGGACTCTTTCAATCGCTTCATACCATCTATGTGTTCCCTAACCCTCACGCGGAGTGGTCTTGCCGTTTCTCCAACATACTCATCACCACAATCACGGCAAGTAACTTTGTGGACCACCCCAGACATGTTACATTCATATTCCCTTCCAGCTGGACAAACCATACAGTCTGAGGTTGCATGGTTTGTCCACATAGGCGATCATATAGCCTGTTCTGAACCAGGCGCTTCTTTAGATTGAAGGGTGGTACGTTGACAATAGCTACCGCATTTTCCAAGCCCGATCTTTTTAGACACTTCCTAATAGTGGCACTCACCTCATCAGAGATAAATGGTATTACAAAAGGAATCATCCCATCAATCAAGGTACTACTAGGTCTGAGAATTACGAAACCAGAGAAGCACTTCGTGTAGTTGAAAGGTTGCAGTAGGCATTCATGTGAGCAATATCGCATGCCATTTCAATCGACTCTTTTCGCTCATCCTACCCAGTGTAAACCTTTTTAGCGGTGCGGAACATATTCCTAACAAACCCTTGCTTTATGTTAAAAGGATGAGCTGAGTGGTAATGGACAATGATATTTTAATTGCTGGGCTTTCTGTACCAGTTCGTAACAATCATATCGCCCTGTAATCTCTCTTGAACATTTGAGAAAGGAAGCCAATTTCCGGTCGGTTTCTCCCGAATTAACTTAATGTGCTCCGATTGTAAGTTCAACAGGTCAAAACACACATCTATTTCTTTCTGCGTCGCACAAACTATGAAGAAGTTGTCTATATACCTGCAGTAAAGTAAGGGCAGGTATTCGAGTGCTGGTGCTTCAATCTTGGCCATAAATGCTATAGCCAAGACAGGTGCCAACCGTTGTCCCATAGCTAAGCCTCTAGTCTGAGCGAAATATCTCCCAGACCACTTGAAAATGTTGCAACTGAGGCACTCCTTAACAAGTGCCATCAGCTGGGATATAGAGAGCCCTCGAACATTTATATTGTTTTGGTGCTGACTAAGAAGCTCAACCACGGCTCATAGCAGACCCATTGCTGACATTTGTGCAGAGGGCTTCTACATCAAAAGACTCCATGACGCACGAACCGCTGAGGTGCGATCCAGAAACATTTGGGGGGCAGGCAATGAACTTGAGGAGCTGCACAAGAACGCTATTAAGAAATCACGCAGTTCGGTCAGTAGGGCCGCCCAAGCAGCTTATGATAGGACGGACTTTCACGGATGTTGGGTTGATTGAAGCTAAGTCATCTGCATCCAAAAACATGTGCGTCTTTATGAGCGGATACAGGACTGGACAACAAGGCGACACAAGTTTGAGCCGCGTTATAAAGGTTGAACCCAATCCTGCTGAACGTGCTAGTGAAACCCACATCCAGCTCAGTCTTTGAAACTGCACTTGGAACTCCTTCACAGAAGCTGAGTGGTAGAGAGGGGTGTCTCCCGGATGGTGTTCTGTTATTCGTCAATGTTCTGTGCCATACAGGTTTTTTTAATGGTGGAATACTTTTATTCGCCTGATGTTTCGACAAT